TTAGACAGCAAAGTTCGCAGTTTGGAGATGTTTCTTAGCTGAAAAAGGCAGTTCCTAATCAACTGGCGAGAGTGTTGTTCTCGGGACATGGCAGAATCAAACATCACACCAAGGTACCTGAGGCTCAGGTGAACAGATGAGCCAAGAGAACCAAGATGCTGTTTGATTAGAGATATCTGGTTGTCAGGGGCAATAATTAATGTTTCTGACTTCTCAGAGTTCAACTGTAAGTAGTTGTCACCAAGCCACTGTTCAATGGAAGCTAAACATTTAATTAAAGAGGACAGTTTATGGACTTCCATCAGCTTAAAAGAACAATAGAGCTGAATATCATCAGCATAGAAGTGATAAGACACCTCAGGGAACTGCCTAATTATAAGTCCTAGAGGTAACATGTACAAAAGAAAAAGAATAGGACCCAGAACTGAACCCTGCGGTACCCCACATCTCAGATCAGAATAAAGCATGATAAAAGTAATTCCAGGTTTAGTATGTATTTGTAGACTAATGTACTAACCTGAAATCGTGCCTGTGTGGTTTCCTGGTGGTGTAATGCAAAGTTGGATTTCAGGAGACACCTGGACTTGGATCTTCATACCAAAGGATGTATGGACTTCAACATACATAGAGGACTGCCAGAAAACCAGGGCATGATCTAAAAAGTGAGAGAAATTAGTAAGAGATTTGGTGTTTATGTATCAAAACCATTCAGTATATATTATGAGGCTAGCAGTCTAACTAGCATTCTTTTACCTACCAGACTGATGAAGTTCAGTAATTTCTTGGTCTCCAAATTTAACCATGCTGCGTGTGAATGTGTACATTTCCTGCAAATTCCAAATGACGTGCATAATCAGGCTCATTTTTCCTCACTACTAATTGATTTGATAGTTTGTATAGTGTGTGGGATATATACCTGGAAAATCTGGAGAACGACTGTTTGTATAGATGCATGCTTCCCAGAAAATTCAACATTTATTGTCCAGTTTAAGCCCTGCATGTGGTCATGAAAACAACTTAGCATCACAATCATACACAGTTGTCCTAATATCACATATTTGTGCTGTAGGCTGTGTTTACCTGTGAGGCCACATATGTGCATTTACCAGGAACAACATATTTTTTGCCATCGAATGTTGTTACAAATTGCCCTTCAATGTCACATCCACCTAGGCAGGAATTCTCTGAGCAATGCCATCCTCCACCATCACATGTACTAAGGACAAGAGTTTAAAATGTTTTAAAAACTTCTAAACACTTTTATGATTCTAAAGTTAAGGTTTTTTTTATGTATTAAAATTCCAGTATTATTTTATTTTATTTTATTTTTTGGCCACTTACCATGCCTGACACTTAGTGTTACGTATGTCTCCAGTTAAGTAAGTCCTACCAGAGAAGACACAGGGGCAGCTAGTCACATTCACGCAGTGGAAGTCTTCTGCGTGATCATCAAGCACCTTACCTACAATATAATTCAGTGAATTTTTGATGATGAGTTCTGATTAGTTTCATGTGACTTACCAAGGCAAAAAACTAAATACAGTTCATAGTATTCACCCTTTGGACAGACACAAGTGCTGGTGATAGCCTGGCTGGAAAAGCTGGGGTTAGGGTTGGAGCAGCTGGGAATAAATGCATTACCCTCTTCTTTATAAACCAGGTCTCCAGGACATGTCGGCTCAGCTGCATTCATAAAAACAGAAAGGTAAATCCATCATGAAGCTAAATGAAATGTCAGTTAAAATTCATCCTTTATCCATAAAAGCATAAAAATCCATAAACAAACAACTTTGCGACTACTATTATGAAGCTTTTAACCCTCTTTAAGACTTTAAGAATGATGATAAATGGTCACCTACCACATTTGGTTATAGCTCTCCATTTCTGCCACACATAGCTGTTGTTTCCACAGTGCAGGGCAATCTCTTTGAAGAAAGCACAGCGAACGGATTTGCTCTTTTCAAAGCTGTAAATGTTCTCTTCACAGAGTTGGATATAATATGGTGTTTTAACTTGCAGACACTCCAAAGTGTAAGAAAAGAAGTCTCTGCATACCTGCAAATATCAATGGAGGAACATTAACATTTTAGACTAACATCTTTTGTACGGCAACATTTATACAATATGATTATATAACTGATTGATTCCTGAAAACATGAAAACAAAAACAAATGAATAAAGAAAAGTGGATTTAAACTATGAACATGATTGAAAAAAAACTATTGTAACATCAGCTTACAGAGTTAGTGACAAAGACAGGATCTCGCGTTTGACATGTTTCCTGGGTAAGCTCGCTCTCTGTTATCAGCTGCTGCTTGTTGCCTGTTTTCACAAAT